AAAGATGGTGTCGAGACTCCTCAGGGTGCTCGCAGCAGACGCAAAGGAGGATGTAACCGACAGAACTTTTACTGCTGCAGGAGGAGGACTGGGTTTTTCCATCGACTTCCTCTCTCAATCATCACATTTCTCCTTTCTATATCGCAGAGTATCTGATAATGATCAGAGGAAAAGAACAAACCTCAGATTCTCATCCAGCTACTGTTTAGGCCTTTTAAGAAGGCCTCAGCCATAAGAGAACAAGTTTTTATATTAGTGCATCTCCAAAGACACAATATCTCCAGAGCTCACTATTAACAAGGTTTACAGTATGTGTCATTGGTTTCATGTTTGTCTGTTAAACAAATTCTAAAAAAAAAGTGAAACTGGAATTTTTGGGTTTCGTTCCAAAATTAAGAAAATCTCATTCAAACCCAGAGATTTATAGCATTGCTCCCTTGATGTGCAGATAAGTACAATAGCTAGAGAGAGAAAGAGAGGGAGAGAGAGGAGTGATGATGTGCCATGTCTCAATTGCTTTACAGCATCCACACAATGAGCTTTGTCAGGGCTTTGTCCTGCCACTCACCACTATCTTGGCGTCTCGGGCGGTGTTTTCTGGCACAGTCACCCAGTATTCGGGCTGCTCCCACTGAGGCGGCTGGTTGTGGACGTTGGTGATGATGACGGTCAGCTCCACAGAGCTGCTGCGGTTCCCTCCGTCTGATGCCACGATCTGCTGGTTGATCCTGGATGTCTGCAGGGACGCGCACAGGAAACAACAGAAGGTCATTTTCAAAGACAGATAGTAGCTCCAGGTGAGTATTTATTCAGAGCAGCTCCTTTTATCATTTTGTTTTAGGCCTTGGTTCAAACCTTCAAATTACCGTAGCTATGCAGAGAATATTTTAACCACGAAAACTGCAGGAACAGCTGTATCAAAGGTATTTAATTTATTTTTAATGTTAGCTATCATAGCTCCTCTTTATCATCTTTTAATAACCAAAATCTAATTTTAACGACCATGCACTTCATTGATAGCTGCTCCAGACATTGTAAAATTAATTACTACAGCAGAGATAGAAAAAGTGAAAGCTTTTGGTTTGCCCATAAACTGTAAATAAAAAAGGGAGATAGGCTGTAAATCTGCCTTTGCTAATTAAGTGATTGAAGTGTTGTTTAAAAGATGGTGTGAGGAAGAGAAGAATAACAGAGTAGATGACCACAGAAGAAGAAGAGCATCATTCACAACAGACATTTGTTAACAGCCCATTTTCACTTTGACTTTGTAAAAAGAAGAAGACACACAATCATGTTTTGTTTATTCACTCATTCATGCACAGAGCTCAGTCCAAGAACAGGAGCTCGATCGGCTTCCTGTAGTCTGAAAGAAAAAACTGAGCAGTGGTGGCAGAAGTATTCTTTACTTAAGTAAATGTAGCAGCACCACAGTGTAAATACTCAATTACAAGTAAAAATCCTGCATCCAAAGTGTTACTTAAGTAAAAATACTAGCATCAAACCAGCACAGCCAGCCTGTTCGTTCCCACAACAGGAATGTTTGACTGATGTCGTGCAGCCTCCAGCTCTGTGCGCATCCCTCCATCTCTCCCAGTATTTGTACCACTGTACCCAGTGTGCGTCTCACCTGTGAGATAGGGTGGTTCACATAAATCCAGCCAGTATTGGGGTTGATGTGCAGGTACGCCGGCTTTTGATTGGACAGTGAGTAGGTGATGGCCGCGTTGCTCCCCTGGTCATCATCGTGTGCTGCCGCTCGGAGGAAACTAGTTCCAACAGGAGAATCCTCCCTCAGGAAGTCTGAGTGGGACGAGAGAGTAACTGTCAACCAGGGGATGAAATACTGCTGCTACTGGTACAACATCTACTGCTACTACGTATGCAACTTCTACTGTTGCTACGCATAAGAAACTGCTAAAAAGGTACTACACTAACTAGTATACACTACTACTGGTGTTACTATTACTATACCATAAACATCTTCAAAACACTACTGGAACAGCTACTACTGTTACTGCTACTTATATCACACATTATTTTTACTGCTACACTACAACTGTTGCCATTACTACTACAGTACCAACGCTAGTACTACTATCACTAATACTCCAGTACCATCATACCAGTTATGTACGATTGCTAGTACTTTGTCTACTGTCTTTCTCTACCAGTACTGCTGCTAATAATAACTGCAATGATATGAAATCTACTACTATACAAGAGCTATGGCTACTGCTGCTAACTGTACAACAAGGACTACTATAAGAACTTCTACTAATTTTTAAAGTTGATAGTTCTGTCTTTGTGCTTCTTGGTTTGGTCTTAGCACCAGCACTTGTCTCATTAGTGCCATGTTTGAACTACAGTCTACTGTGTCACATGATGAGTCTCTCTCCGCGATGTACAGGCTATACATAAAACCATGTTCTCACTTGTGCTCGTGTTTCAAGTCCAGGTACTGAATTGCATTAGATTTGACTGAACACAGTACAACATCAAGTTCTGTGAAGGTAAGCAGATATTATAATAATAATAATGGGAACAGAGTGTTGAGTTGTGTCAGCACTGTGTCACCTCATTTTGTCATTTCTGGATCTCACTCTGCAAAGTCAACAGATGCATTTCTAAATTTATGAATATAACCTCCAATCCTGCTGACTGTGATGTGTGTCAGTGCTGATCAGACAACAAAAACAACGAGCACAGAGGAGGTTCACTGCTGCCTTCCCTCTGTAATACTGCATTTCAAGCATTATGTCAATAATAACGTCCTTCTGACATTTGTGGGCCTCACTGGATACATTTCAACTGAATAAACACGTCATGTCCTACTGAATCTAATGAGTGCTCCACACTTTACTTCTACAAAGAAGCTTGGCAAGCGGATCGTGCTGCACTTTTCTCTTTTGTTGCAGTAACAAAATGTCTTTTTTAAAATATAAACTAAGATCTTCCCCACAGCCTGATATACCCAGTGACAGTGGGACAGGACATGCTGTCTCTCAGATCATCTCAGAGCATCAGATGTGGAAAACTGCTTCCTGACCTTTGCTAAACAATATTACTGAGGGTAGAAGTATTACTAATGGCAGCTAATGTTGCAGCAACAACAGCAGCAGTGCTAGTAGTCAATGCAGCCACAGTAACACAAGCAGTACTAGCAGCAACAGCAGTAATCTTAGCAGCACTGGTCGAATACATAGCTTTTTACAACAACCACTACAAGCATAACTGTAGTAGTACTAACAACCATAGCAGTACGATGCATTCACAGTGGCAACACCAGTAATAGTAATCTTAGTAGCATCTGCCTGGTGGTATTATGTGGTATTATGACACACTCATACTACTAATATTCAACCCCAGTAATTTTAGCAATAATTGTAGCAGCAGACACACTTGTAGTAGTAACAGCAGTACTAATGACAGCAGTAGAAACTCACTTGCAGTAATAGTAATGACAGCAGCACTGTTGTTGTTGACTCACACTGGTTGTAGTAACATTAGTAGCAATGGAAGCAGTACTCACACTCACAGTAGTAGCCTAACGATAGCAGTAACAGTAACAGCAGCAGGACTCACACTGGTAGCGGCTGTTTTCAAACTTGGGGTCGTTGTCATTCTCGTCCAAGATGAGCACTGTGATCTGACAGATCCCGATGAGCGGCTCCTCAGCCTGATCTGTGGCCGTCACCGACAGCGTGAACTCCCTCTGACGCTCGCGGTCGAAACTCACCGCCGTGGTGATCACACCTGACAAACACAGGGACATGTTACAGTCACGCTTCAACTGTCACACTCAGACTTGCATGACCGTATCACTTCAGGGATCCAACAGCCGTGTGAGCAAACGTTTTGAATTTCTGAGCAATAAGCAGAAATGATTAGCGTAAAAGATCTAAGTAGTACTTTCTCCACCACAGGCAACAAGTAACCTCATAAAAGACTGAAATTCTAACTGCAGGTAGTTACTAAACCAGCTGGTTTCTGAAACTGCTGTCGATGTGTTACCATCGGATCCTACCAGTGTCAGGATCGATGTGAAACCCTGACGACACCCCATCTCTGTGCATGATGCCGTATCGGACCTCTCCGTTGATCCCCATGTCGGCGTCATGGGCCTGGATACGAAGGACAAACGTCCCCGGAGGCTGGTTCTCCAGGACGGCGGCATTCAGACTGTAGTTCTGACACTAAGATGATGATTTGAGGAATTAATTTGGATTAAGGCAGAAATAAAACAACTCTTACAATCTCTGAGACTCCTCATAGGTTGATCCAACTCTCAGAGCAAAAGACACAGACACAACAGTTTCACTCACCTCGTGGAAGACCGGTTTGTTGTTGTTGATGTCATTGATTCCTACAATGACCTGTGCAGAGCTGCTGAGTGGGTACGGCCCACCAGAGGCATTATCGTCCGTAGCAGTGACGTTGAGGACATACTGAGGTCCCCTAAGTCTGGGAGGCGGACTCCTCCTCAGCTTGATGATGCCTATACACACACACACACACACACACACAGACACAAAGCATATTTCTTGTGTACTCTTACTTAGCCTGCTCCTACCATGACCTTGCTTCATAGCAAACACAAAAGTTGTATATGACTAAAATACAACTTTTTAAAAATCACTTCCTCCTCCTATATATTTCCATATGACTTAGCGCTCAATTTTGCATCCTTGTTACTTTTTACCTAACCTGGCAAAGCAAACCCAGCAGGTTCAGCACACCTCCAAATATAACATTTAAATGAAGTGAAAATAAATTGCTTCTATGTTTACAGGCATCCAAACACTACTGTGTCCTCTGGCCAAAGGACACTGCAGCAGCAAACAGCCTCCTCGGGAGGCGAGGGCACCTCACAATGTTTCAGCTAATAAAAATAAGGAGGGGAAAAAAAGTAGAGGAAACACATAAAACTCATGACACTACAGAATATCTGTACTCCAGAAAGTACCTGACTGACTTTCATTTTTTATTAGAAGGGCCACTTTTGTCTTAACTGGATGTAAACTTGACCATCTGAACATCTGCAGACTGATTGGCATGGTGCTAAAGTTGAAACATGTCAAAATGGATCTCCACTGGTCAGATCACTAGTCTGACTGCATGTCTTTGGTTTTCAGGGCAAACCCTGCTGCAGCCCCCAAGGGTGGTGGTAATGCACCTGCAGCATGGATGACCAACGTGAAATGGATGTCACCTGCTCAATAAACAGTATCACTGAATCACTTGATTTGAAAAAAAAGTGTCAGCAGATATTGATTAATGCTTATAACAAGTTCCACGGTGAGTTTGCTGCCACAGAAGACCAAGAAAGCCAGAACGTTTTTTTTCCATTTTTACTTAAAAAAGAGACTTAAAAAAGTTGTTGGAGATAAATTCCATGTTGCTGATTTATCATTCAGCTCAACATGTAATGTTATTCTAAGAGTCATATTAGCCTCAGAATCATGGTCCAGTTAATCTTCTAGTGGCCCTGGGGGAGTAACTTGCTGTCAGGCCCCTGCTGACCCCCACAAAACATGGCAGTTTCATTATGTCCCCAGGCACCCAGTAAAACTGATGACAGGGTTTTCCCGACCATAGTAAGGCTCAGGCGCAGCGCCTAAGTTGAATGAATGCAAAAAGGCAATGTTTCAGAACCAATGTAAAAACAATAGAGAGTTATATGCGCTGAAAAATAAATCAGGTAACCTGATGTCAAAATGAAATGTAAGCTGCAACAGGATAGTCCCAGCTTTTGATTCTCATGTCTTACATACACCAACATTAACTGCATGACTTAAACCAATGACGGGACAAAAAGAAACTCGTTGCTGTCGGGCCTGTGACCTCACTGTAGCCAGTGGGGAAACAGACAGCACACTACGGTAGAGGCACCACTCTGTAACACCGCTGAAGGATTAGAGTGAATTGAGTGTTTCTGTCATTCCAGCAACTCCCAACAGCATGAGACATCTTCACAGACAAAACCATCAGCTGATCTCACATCAGTGATGGCAGCACAGCACATTCTGGGGGATGGCGTACACACAAATGGTCACGAACATCCGTTGTCTCTCCATCTTTTACGTTACATTACATAAGAACAAATCCTGCACTCATTAGCGTTTTGTTTGTTTGTTCAGATGAGCAAAGGGGTACTTTTAACTGCCTCCACAAAGAATACATGAAGTAGAATATAACTTCATTGGTGAGTAATTTATCTGAACAATGATAATAAAGATAAATTGCTAATGTAGCTATGTTAGAATTTCATATGAATAATCTTCACCAGTCTTTTACAGTTAATTCATCATCTTTGGGTTTTTGCTTACATAAGAACAAATCCTGCACTCAATTTAATTATGTTACCTAGGGCTTCAGTGAACAATGATGAGCATTTTTCTGATATTTTATTCACTGATCAATCAGTTGGCTATTGAAAAAGGTTCCAAATGTACTGACAAGTTGCAGTCTCTATGTTGGAATCGTACAACCTTGATGGAGATTCTCTCTTAGTTTATTGGCTGACACAGGAGCAAGTTCATAAAAAAAACTTTAATACATATTATTAAAATATAAACCAAAAACATTTTAGGTCTTTAAACTAGATCTTTGAGAGGATTCGACATAGAGTAGATGACTGTACAAATTAGCATTACTACAAATTTATGATTAGACAGATTATGTAGATCCAAATAATATAGAGTAAGCATCATGCTTAAGGGCCTCTGGAGGTCTGGGGCCCCGAGGCAGTTGCCTGCTTTGCTTTAATCTAGCCTTACTCAGTGTCCAAAATAGTAACTGTCAGAAAGTATAAATAACAGCTGCCATGTTGAGCTTTAAACACAGTGTAAATATGAAGCTGCTGTGTTGTCGTGAGTCTCCACTGTGTCGGCACAAACCCCCCGCATTATTCTAACTCAGGCTTAAAACAAAATTCATATTATTCTGCACTAACAATCACCTCCACATTAACATAACGGTGCAAACAAACAGACAAACAAGCAGCTTTGGTAGGAACAGAGACACGGTGGCCGGGAGGGAGTGAACACATCTACATGAAAATACTCCACAACACTTTGAAGTGACAAAGCAGAACAGCCGAGCGAGCCAAAGGCCATCTGCTCTGTGTGTGTGTGACAGAGGGAGTCTTAATTTATCATTTATGTGCAAATATTTGTGTTTATATCTGCTGTGTGTGCATAAACACTGTGTTTGTGGGTGTGTTGCCGAGCAGTGGCGCAGTACATGCAGGGTGACAGAGGCTTAGAAACACACACACACACACACAGATATAACACACAAAACATGACTGCACATCACACTGCTGCATGTGAAGTCTATAGCCAAAAGACACACACACACAGACTAACATGCCTAAATAATAATAATAATAAAACATAAACAGTTCACTATAGCTCACACACACATACACACACACCAACTGTCATCATGTCATGTTTCAGGGGGTTTCAGGGGGTTCGTGGCCTTGGTGAAGCTACCGAGCTTTATCCCCTGATACTTGTTACCACAGCAACAATCACTTTACTGCATGTGGTGCGAGTGTAACTGTGTGCATGTGGGGAAAAGTTTGTGCCGCATGTTTGTTAAAGCTACCAGCTTGCTAAAAAAACAAACAACATTTGTCTAATCATTTATCTGTTTTTGTCCTATTAGAATTTGTTTCGTGTTCTGTCTGAACACACCTTCAGAACAGTAAAATCATCACCGTGCTGGATTAGCTGGTGAATTATTGGTAAGTAGTTTCTGAATGACTGAATCACTGCGTTCAGCATCTCGATGACACTGCTCACAAAAAAATACCTGCATCCAATGTCTCAGTTATATTTATATGAAATACAACAAACATTTGTGTGTGTGTGTGTCTGTGTGCATGTGCATCGTCTTGCCCTCACCCTTCTGGTTGTCCAGCAGGAAGTTGCTGTCCTCGTTGCCGCCAGTGATGGCATAGGAGACGGCATCTCCGTCCGGGTCGTTGGCATGGACGATGGCGACTAGTGTGTCTGGACCGGCGTCCTCACTGAGGAAGGTCTTATAACTGATGGAGAGAAAGATGTGCTGAATCTAAACTACCCATGAAAGAGGAGACTCGGTGGCAGAGTTAAGAAAAAGAGAAGGTCAACAATTAATTCAAGAAATAAGAATAAATAAGGAATAATATTTACATTGTTATTTTTTTTCCAATTGCATTATACCCTGTGCCATATAGTATATTATTAATATGAATATGCTACATTATTATCTTATACAATTGAGACACTAGCTTTCCTCAGTTTGCACATTCACACTTTTATTCTATTGTTTTACTATTATTCCTTATTTTGTTTGAGCATATTTTGGTTTACTTATTATTTCTAGATAGACTCTGTTTACCCTGAGCCTGTTTGGCTCCAAAATTAATTGGAAAAAAAAGTAATTTATCTTACAACTGAACAAACAGAATTAAAAACAAATAAGCAAGAACAGAGGAAGGAAAAAGTTTCAGACAAGATAACAAACATATGCTACATAAATAGAAAATAAAGAAGTGTAAGAAATGAAAGTAACAAGGTGTGAAGGAGACAGAGTGAGAGGTGCAACAGATGGAGGAAGAACAGCAGGATTAAAAATAGGGTCTGAATTAAAAACAAACTTAATTAGAAGACAGATTGTGGGTGAGACAGAGAGAGAGACAGAAGTTAAAAATCACAAAAGGTGACGAAAGGTTAAGAACTCCTACACGCTCTGGGAGAAGACAGGTGCCTCGTCGTTGCTATTGGTCACTCGGACTCGGACAGAGGCAGTGCCAGTGCGGGGGGGCATCCCTGCATCCACGGCAACCACCACAAACTCATAGATGTGATTGGGCCGCTCGTAGTCCAGACGACGGGTGGGGCTGACCACACCATTGGGCGTGATGTCAAAATCACTGCCGTGAACGAAGTAGGAGAGCTCCGAGTTCACACCGGAGTCACAGTCCCGCGCCAGCACTGAGGAAGATGAGAAAACATGGAAAAGGACAGGAGGGAAGGTGGAAAAGGAGATGTAGCAGAGAAAGAGAGGAGAGAAATCAAGGAAAGGAAAAGGGGCAAGGTGTTTGGAGCAAGAAAGTAAAGAAGGAAAAGATGGGGAAGAGGAAAAAAGAATGGAGATTAGGTTGAGAGGGAGCAGAGAAGAAGATATGAAGTGGGAGAAGTGGAGGACGATTTGAGTAGGGGAGGACATGAGGGGAGCAGTAGACAGGGGGAGAGAGAACACATAAAAACAATGAGGAGTATAAAGGGGGAGGATGGAGAGAAAGAAGAAGGAAATGAGAGGTAAGGTGGCGGAGGAGGACAGGGTGGATAAAAAGTGAGCGGTGAAAAAGTGGTGGGGGCAAATAAAGAGGAAAAAGGTGGATGGAGTAGGAGAAAGAAGCGAGGAGAAAAGGTGGTACAGGTGAGGAACCAAGTGGAGAGAAGTGGGTGGTAGAAAAGGAAATGAACAGAAAACAAAGAGCAAAGGGTAGTGGGGGAGGAAAAAGACAAGACATACAAAACACATAGGAGAAGGAAAAATAGAGTAGGAGGAGAGGAAGAGGAGACCAGAAATATTTTATAAATCCATTTGTCTGTACACTGTCGAGTGTGTGTACATGTCTGTGTGGACAGATTCTAGTTTGCTGTCACTGCTGTGAGGGCATTGTCCTCCCAGCTTCAAAAGGCTGTTTGAGCATTAAGACCTGACTTTAGGGTTCAGGTTAGAATCAGGGTTACGGTCAGATGTTGAACTGTGATGGTTAAGAGCAGGGGATGGAACTCAGTGTCCATACAGCTACATAAAGATCAGTGTGTGTGTTGCTGGCTGACGGCCTAATAAGAGCAAAGCCTCGCTGAAGGTGGACTGTTTGATATCAACCAGTATCCAGCAGCTACACTAGATGACTGACACACGCCCAACACACCAAACACACAGTGCACAGTTCACCCACAGGTGTAATATGCTGGTGTTGTGTTCATTGGCACAGGGCAAATCATTTCTCAGGAACTCAGATCCACCCCCTGTGTGTGTGTGTGTGTGTTACCTTGCAGCAGTGAGGTTCCAGGTGCAACGCTCTCAGGTATGTTGTCTCTGGTGTAGATCAAGTGCAGGAACTCTGGCGTGCAGTCATTTTCATCAGTTATGTGGACGACCACCTGCAGGGGGCATCTCAATGTTACTGTCTAGTGTCATGTCAGACTTAATTTGTTGTGCAATTTTATTTGTAATCTGACAATAAGCATTGTCACCCAGCTAGTGAGTGATTTCCATAAGAAGCAAGCTGTGACTATACACTGAGTATATAATATTAGCAGCAGTGTTAGTTGCGCTGATTAATGGAGACTGCCAAACATGTAAATTAATTTATCTTTGGTATAAAATTAGTCAGAGAGACCGGCTTTAGCAAACTGCACTTTCTGTTTTCCAAAATAACTCATCCAAACATTATGAAGACAAACATCTCCTACTCGGGGTGAGAAACCCCATTTCCATCCAGCTCCTTCTCTCTGTAAAACCTCCTCCACCACCCAAATCCCAAACCTGTCTGTCACTTCTCTCGCCCCCGTTCCCCTCCAGTTCATCCACTATCCTGAGCCGCTGGAGCTCAAACTAAAACGTTATTTTCCATTCCAATAAAGCCTGATTCAACTGGCGAGGCTGCATACCTGACCACCTGAACACAGATTTCCTATGCAGCCCTGAACCTCCGACATGCCACCTGTTCAGTAATAAGAGCAGGGCAGCGGAGGGCCATGACCAGGAGATTTAGATGCACGGCTGCCTCTGCAAACGTGGGCGGAATATTTCACATCAAAACAGGAGGGAAACTGTGGCAAAGATTTGAAAGGAGGAAACAAACACTTTTTTTCTTAGTGTAAAAGTAAACAAGCTGTCTTTGTTATTTGGCCTCAGTGAGACAAATGGGTGGACAAAATAAGAGAAACAGCTCTTTAACACAGACTGCAGCTTCCACCAGTGGTGGAACTCAGATCCTTTACTTAAGTAAAAGTAAAAATACAACTGTGTAAAAACCCTCTGTTACAAGTAAAAGTCCTGCATTCAAAATGTTAAGTACAAAAGTATTAGCATCAAAGCATATCTGAAGTACTCATTATGCGGAATGGCACATTTCACATTTCTGTACATCCTATTGTGTTAAAGTTACTGATGCATTATTGTGTATATCACATTTAATGTTGCAGCTGGTAAAGGGGGAGCTAGTTTTAACCATCTTCGTTTAATTTGAATTACTGCTGGGTAGCTTGTGAATTTTCCACTGTACATCAATGATGTCTTATAATTATACTGTCATTTTTGTATTAATCTGGTTATGAAAAGTCACTTTCATGGAGGAGGATTTTTGCAGGTGGTGTTCCTAATAAACTGACCACCTGCCTTATGCCCACTCTTATATGCATCTTTCACTTTTTCTTTGTCATGTGTGACTTTACCCTGTTACTCATCTTTAAACTTGTAGTTATCAGGCTGAAGGGCGACCTCTTCTGCTGTTTGGCCAGTTTTTATATTTTGTACTATGATCTTCTTGTGGCAAGGTTTCTCTACATTTAAATGTGATTTACCTATTGATTTAACTTTGATTGTTCCTTTACAGGCACCCATATTAGGTTTTGTTGTTCATGGTGTTCAGCTTTTTCATTGCTCTGATGGGTTCTCTGCAAGAACCTCACCCTCAATTAAACTGTCTACTATATATGTAGAGCTAAAGGACATATGAGCTGTGTTATTACATTGTGTGTATTTATTTAGTGCAACTGTCCCTTTGACATGGGTGGCCCTGCAGCTTCATATATGCTACTGGACAAATGTTTGGACACACCTTCCCAATGAATTGAATCAAATTACCTTAACCCAATTCTAACCTGAACCCTAAAACCAAGTGTGACCCCTCAAACAGCCCTTTGAGGGGTGTCCTCCCTCTCCAGGTATAAAACTGGTCCTCTCAAAGATAGACACACACACACACACAAGCAGAGCAGGGACTTTAGTGTGGATTAGCCAGCCGAGCTTATAGAGCAGCAGAGGCCTTCGGGCATGCCGACAGTTTAGCAGCTCTTCTCTGTCTGTCTCAGCCATATGGACACAGAGCAGATGATGGATTTCTCTATGTGTCTGAGTGCATGCGTAGTAGGAACCGATGTAGCTATCCACTGTATAAAGTCCTCAGAGTTCACCATGAGAACAGAAGTCAGTACTTGGCTGCCAGGTTTCTGCACTTTGCATATTCACCATGTGTGCTGCCCCAAGTTCATCAATAATACTGAAAACTCTAACAAAGCCAGAGCTTAGACTGCTGACTACAAACTGATCAGAGTTGTCACCATGAGAGCTTCACAGGGTGCTGGCTGAATCGAGACAAACAGCACAGTGTTCAGCTTGTATAATGAGCACATAAGCAGAATAAACAGTAACTGTTACATCAGAGTGGCTCTTCAGCTGCGGCACTTTTATCTCATCTGAAATGAATGAGCTTTGGTCAGAGACAGGCAAGTGTCAGGGGTCAACATCTTTTCCCGGCATCTGCGAGGAGTTGTTCAGATGGTAACATGGATTGTTCATCAGCGGGGAGGGGCTGTGCTGCCCTCCCTGTCCCAGGAGGCTTCACACCCACTGATGTTTTCCTGCTCTAGTGTGAGGTTGACATACAGACGGTCTTCAGAGGTTAAAATGCTATTGTGTGAACGTACCTCCGCCACGCCGCTGAGGCTGGTGTCGGGCTCAGAGGCTCGGACCTGCAGGGTGTGGAGGTTGTGCCCGCTCTCGTAGTCGATGGTCCTGGTGAGGCTGAGCGCTCCACTCTCCTGGTTGATGCTGAACAAGTTCCCAGGATTCAACAGTAGCATGTAGGAGAGACTCTTCTTCTGGAAGGAGATGGCCTGAACCGTCGCAACCCTGCACACACAGAGGGAGGGCTGGGGTCAGGGTCTGCTGCCAAATCCCCCAGTGTTCCCATCTGTACATCTATTCAACACACACAACAACATGAGAATCACAGAGCCTTGAAGGTGAGTCAGGCTACTCTCCGTCTTTTGATGGCACTAAATTTCCACAGTTTCAACTCTTTGTACCAAGTTAGGCTGAACACATCCATCAGCACTGGTCGTACCGAGATGATATCCATGTTCACATCATATGGGATGGATTGCAGATATGGGCAAGTGTCCTGACTATGAAACCTGTCAACATGCACATCTTTGGATAACTCCAGAAAACTGCAGTTGTAACAAAGGCAGCCTGAGATAAGATGATAAACAATTTTGCCTGACAATGCACTCTCACGTCTCTAACAAACATGCAGTTGATAGCAGCACTGCACTGAGGCTTTCTTCAGAGCAGACCTCTGGTTTAAGAGACCAGAACCATGGACCTCTGCAGGAGGGGGTGAGACTTTCTAGTGTCATAACTAATGTATTTTATGTTTAATCTGTCATTGATAGGAAACACCAATACAGGAGGGTGTTCATGAGATGTCAGAAGGTGAGCTTCGCCGCCTGGCTGCCTGATGTAGTCTCAGATAGTACTTTGTCCGTGACTGATGACGTGACAAGAGAGGAGAAGTACAGACAAGACCAGAGGTCAGTAGAAAGCTGGCCTACATTTTTGTTTCCAAACTGAAGAGGAGCTGTGACATGTTGGTCAAGCTCCAGCACTACAGCCTTCATGGATTATTCTGTGCTCAGAGACATCACAGCCTGGGTAATCGGTTTGACTGAAACACATACACTGAGACACACACACACACGAGGACATAACACCCCATAACAATGAACATAATGGCAGCAGAGACACAAATAAAAACATTCAAAAATGCAGAAACAGACACCCAGACACACTGCTCACAGGGAGGCATGGATACTTGATATTAACACAATGTGTTTCTGCACCAGCTGCCCAGAGAGATTCTCTCTCTCTCTCTCTCTCTCTCACACACACACACACACACACACACACACACACACACACACACACACACACACACACACACACCTCTTCATGTTTATCCAGACCTTGCTTTTAATACATATTTGAATTTGCCACACTTTCAAATTCTCAGCCTGAGGCCACACTCGGACATCTGGGTCCTCTTCATCCATCCCCCCCTTCCTTCTCCTCATCCCTCCATCTTTTCCCTCTTCATCCTTTCTCCTTCTGTCTCACTCTAAAGGGCTCATCTCTTCATGCATCACATGACATGCAAAGCAAGGAGCTGACCGTGGAGCCACACACAGATGCTGTTACCACACATTTTCTGAGGCGATGGAATGCAAATGATGTTTCCATAAACATGGAGGACAAAGACAAACAGGCACTTGTGTTCATAAACACACAAACGGCTGACAATCTCAACACCAGGCATAATACTGCAAACATTACTAGCACCACTGTGTCCATAACCCTATCAGAGACACAACAGCTTTGTCATAACTTTATCCTGAGCAAGTGTATGAGCCTGAGAGTTGGAAAATCACAATGTAGATGTTGAACAGAACAATGATACTGAACAGTTCTGCCAAATTTTGAATTATATCCTAAATATCCATACATGTCAGTTACACTACAGGTTAAGATCCGGATAATGTTGAAGCAGATCATCATTTAAAGATGAAGACTCCTTGGCCTACGCACCTGATGCAAAAACTGTTGCATACACTTGTCTTAATATATTTAAAGATCAAGATTTGCCGTCTCTCACTTTGTCCCCTCTTTACTTTCAGGTCCTGAACACCTTCCCTCTGTCAGCCTACTTTACTGAACTGGTGTTAAGCGCTTCTGCTAAGTTTCAAGCTGTGTTCCGCTTGTTCCTGCTGCTTTGACTAGTGTAACTAAAGATCTGGTGCTATCAGACATCATCAGACGGCTGCAGTGACTCACGGTTGGCCGACAAGTGTGTTCTCCGGTATGTTCAGGCTGTAGGTAGAGCTGGTGAACTGTGGTGGCCGGTAACCAGCCAGAATGGCCACTGTGGCTGATGGGCCTTTACGCCCTTGTCCGTCCATCACCTGCACACGCAGCAGGTACTCCTTACTGGGGGTCAGGGGTCGTCCTGTAGTCCTGATCTCACCAGAGCGACGATCCACCTCAAAGCACTCCTCCCCTCCTGGACAACAAGAGTGGAGAGCGAGACTGAGGGAAATACTTGTACTTCAATTGAATTATGGAGACTGTGGTCACTTCCATCTCACAACATATGGAGCTGAAGTCCTGAACCCACAGCTAACTAGTCTCTGTTACATTAACTACAGTGGATTTTTCATGAGTCTAAAAGTATTTACATGTCAGATGTTCCAAAACAAGTACTGACGTCTTTTTCTTTGCTTTTTTCACAACAAAGAAAAATGTTGCTGAGTGTCTTCTGAAGTTGTAGCTATTAGAAATAAGCATTTGACTGTTGAAATGTGTTTGAGAAGTATGCATATAAAGAAAGCAAAAGACAACAAAACAAAGATCACTTTTTAGCTCCAACTGCAGCTGGTTTGGCTCCGAGTTTCCACTGCAACCTACGACCTTAACCATAGTGTTTTCATGGTTAATATGATGTTCTGTTATGAATGTTAAATTTTGAAAAATGTGGCTATGTAAAAGGAGCCCCATGTCATGGAAAATTAGTATGGAAGTGCAAGTTAGTCCTTCAACTGTCCAGAGAGGAGGAAGAGATAAAGGAAAGAACAGAAGCAAAGAAAGAGGAAGAGATAGGCTAAGTTGAGAAAGGATGGAAGGGAAGGAAAGATGGAGCAAGAAGAGAAATGGAGAGCATGATGGGTTTAGAGCAAACAAGGGAAAGACGGAAGAGGTGAGCTGAGGACAGTAAGGATAGAAACTGAGAATGGAAGGATAGATGGAAGAGAGAAGAATGGAAAAGAGGAATAAAGGAAGAGTGGAATCCCCAGCTGTTGACCAGAGGGTTTCAACCAGCAGCAGCTGCATCCGACTCAATCATGTCTTCCTGCTTGGTTTATTTGTGGAGAGATTTTTCTCACACCAGTTCATCTGAAAGAGCTCCTGTTTCCTTCAGCAGGTAGGATCCTAAAACAGACTGTTTTCATTAAACTGAAAACTAACATTAAAGTTCAATATGCTGAAGAATAACCTGAACGACTGTGAATCTCCACTGACACATTTTGGTTGTTCTCTACTATTTGAGGAAACACAATTTAGAAATGCGTTAATTAAACAATACCTTACATAGAAAGTTTACTTACTGTAAACAGCTCATGAGTTTGACAAGCAAAGGGAATGCTAGTAGTTAGCCGGGTTAGTTAAATGACCTCGGAGTTGCCGAGGTAGAACTGTAAGTGGCCAGAATTGACGTACGTATAGGCTGCTGAGATTTCTCAGTAGTATGAATTTTGGCACTGCATCACAAGCTAAAACCCCGCTGTAATATGGTGACAAAGAGACACATATCACAAACCTAATGAGGCTTCTATGTGAATGCATCTATGGTTACAACATTTCAGTAATCAAGACAGCTTCTGTTTATTTATGTGTGAAATCAAAGACCCACTATTTCTAAAATGACTACAAATCTGCCAGTGTTGTCAGCGGGAACTGCATATATTACATCTAATTGCAGCAGTCGACACAATGGCTATAAAGACTTTATACAATTTATTTTTCATTAATTTGTATTCTTTTTTCAAAATGAAGAGAAATGTGTTCTTCCTTTAGTAATAAATATGAATTAATATAACAAAACAAAACAATTTTAACTATTGAAATAATTTTTATAAAACAATTGTAAGTTTAAGGTCATTAAACTAAGTAAAATCATATTAATGGCACTAACTGGCTTCACGCATTGTATGAATATATTTCCATATTGGCATGATATGAAAAACCATTTTAATGTGAATTATTGGATTATTCTTCTCTACACATGTAGTCACAGTGCACCAAAGGGAAGTCAGAGCCTCTTAGTATAAAACCATTAGAAATTAGCTCTCAAAATATACAGATCTCCTATTCCTTTAAAAAGTACATAAAATCTACAGCCATCGGCACCCAGCCACCCAACCCCCGACTCGCTGCCTCTCCAGAGACTTTTCTATTATTTCCAAATCTGAGAGCTTTCATTGCCCCAGGGAGCGATTAACAGTGCAGCTCCATTTATGTGCGTTTTTCTCTCCTTCTCCAACTTGACGGTAATTGAAACTCAACAAGTCAGATTTTATTTATAAATCGCTCCTTTGAACAAAAACAGGTTTGACACAGAGTGTCTGGTGGAGCTGCAGTGGACCTAATTGCAGATACAGGCAGGAGATAAAGAGCAGGAACAAACACATGACAGGCTTTAGGAAATATGCCTGGAACAAGAAGAAGGTTTGGCCTTGGCATATTTTTTACATATGCTGCAAATACCAGATCACTGGTTATGGATTCTGCAACTTCTTTTCAGGCATTTTCATTCTTTTCTTTATTTTAAATGAACAAGAAGTCATTACATCATCAAATCAGTCCTCTTTTTCCCATCATGTGTACATACTTTTGTCCACATAGTGGTGATTTTTTATGGTTTTTGTACATAAAATGTATAGACAATTAAACATATAATACTACTCACCATCCAGCAGGAGGAACTGTGTTGACCCCTGAGTCCCATCTCGCTGCCGTGCCAACAGACGGTACACGACAGAGCCAGGTGTAGCGTCAGGACCCACAGCGGCCAGGTAAGGTGAGGGAAACATGGCCCACTGCAGGTTGGCCTGACTGGGCATGCTCAGAGTCAGTCTGCACAGGTACCACTCGTCACCTGGAAGAGAGGGGACTGTTATTACAAAAGTGACTTCATTATAAATGGCTTCTTTGTTTGCTGTAACTAATAAATACATTACACATTTGCATGTCTGTGCCCAGGGACCTATTGTGTTTTAATTCATTCATGATGTTAGCAGTAACATCAGGTTTGTCATTCTGAGCCAGCGTTGTGAGCAATGTTACGAATGTCTTATTTTTAGGGAGCTTTACGAAATCTGGTAATGTCTCGTGTTGTTTTAGTTGTAGGTTCACTTTATTAGCTTGCACTGCTTGCTGTTGTTTGTCTTAGCTTGTTAGCTAAGCTAGCTCCACTTGTTTAGACTGTGGCATGAAAGCTGAGCTGCTCTCAGCCAAAGGAGACACTACAACATTTCTGTACAACAGCCAATGTGTTTTCTCAGCTTTCATCTCCATCTTGCTGCTTGGGACATGAAGGAGTGACAGGAATGAGGAGAGGAAAACCAGTGGCTTCTCCAAAATAAAACAACAAAACTTTCAGAAGATCACACAACAACATCAATGCAGAAGGAGCTCCCATGCACCCAGGCAAAAATACACGCACACGTTTGGTTTTCTTCATGTCATCTGGTTCTTAGGAGGGATTTGTTTGGTTTGAAGGTGCTTCGGCGCTTGCTGTTGTTTTGTGTCATGACAGTGAAGGAGACAACAGCCAGAACAAATCAGGGAATGTCACTTTAGGGAAAAGACAGAAGAGAGAGGGATAAGGAGAAGAGGTGGAAACAAAACACTATCTGTTGCTGTTTCTATTGCCTCTAAAGGTCTGTCAACACTGAGCAGGGCAGGGAAGGAAGAAGAGGAGTGAAGGAGCGTTAGAGAAGAAGAACGGAAGGAGGAGGAGACAGGAACAATGGAGTAAAAGCAAAACCAAAATGGAAAAACAGAAGAGCGATCTAATAAAACAGCAGCAAGAAAAGGAAGTGAGGAGAAGTAAAATAGTAAAAGAAACTGTCTTTAACCCTTTGCCACTAATTGATACAGTTCACATTAAAAAAAAATCACAATCACTCCATAATCATAACTCAGTCGAATGTGAACCAATTGATACAGTTCGCATTAAAAAAAAATCACAATCACTCCTTCATAATCATAACTCAGTCGAATGTGAACATGATACACATTTTTTTGTCTCGGTGTGAGTTATACTCTGTGAGGATATCATTATTCTGCCCCTCACAATTAAATGTCCAAGAAACATTTTTAAAACTCAGAAACTGCCTATGAATTGTCACATTTTTAGGTTTTCTTCAGTATACAGTAATCCTGTGTTTATTGTTTGTACTGCCATGGATTCATTTGAAACAGAAATGTTTAACTTTTAACATGTGGCTCAAGTTGCATCCTCAGCTGAATCCACAATGACATTATAGTTCCTGTTTACACCCCACGGAGAATTATGGGAGCTGCAGTTCCAAGGGCAGAGTAAGACAATAATAGTGACCCTCCTCTACCCATTCATATATACTGTAGATATGTGGCCTGAATAAAAAACAGGCAAACACAAATTTATGCATTAAACAGGAATTAACTGCCTAAGCCTGACTCAAAATCAAACTTATTTTTGAAACTAACAATATGTAGCATGTCAGGCATGAAGTTACTCTGCTAAAAGACAAAGCTTAGGGTTGACTGCTCATCTGTCTTCTTCTACTTCTCTGGTCTTCAGTCTTGGGTCAGCTCACAACATCCAGAATAATCACATCCATTCCTGTCTGTAGTTTTACATAAGTTGTGCTGCGGGCTGCGTATAAGGGTGAAATGAAAATCTGTCCTATAAACATCAACACAATGAGACGCCGTGCCAGCAGTCAGCACACATGTCAACCCAGGCAAAAACAATCAAAATTCAGCATCTGTGCAAGGCAGTCAGCACACATGTCAACCCAAACAATCAAAATTCAGCATCTGTGCAAGGAAACACATGCAGGAGCTATTGGCTCCTTCATCCCTCCAGGCTGATGAAAGGTCACCGACACCAGAATAATGACATTTAACTAATGCTGTGTTAAGAGACAGTATGTGGCCTTGGTAGAGATGCACCAGCTCCTCTTAATGAATGTTGAATGTGAAGTCCTCTAACCTACATGACCTGAACATACCCAAATGTCTTTATTAGGAAATGACTTTTAAAAAGTGGGAGCCATATAATATTTGAGCATTAGACATTTATTCTAAGTGCTCACAGCAGCAGACCTTCATGAATGGAGAGCGTGCTGCAGCCTGTGTTGCAGTTGCAAGGCATTGTGTGTGCAAGTTGTCTTGCACAACTTTTCCGAGCATAACTGTGTTTTCTGCGCCATGACATCAATCTGATTTATTGCTACAATGAGATGGATTTTTAACTGCTGTCCCAGCAAGATGTGACTAATAGCACTTTCCTGAGGGATATTATGGCACTGGTAACCTCCAGAGTTGGTGGATTATGTGCAGAAGAGGTAAACAACAGAAAAATGCATTTGCAATATTTTGTTGCATTTTGTTTGATGATGCACTGCATTTGCTTCTGACTTCAAATACACACAACAAAACCATAAGACAGGAGAAAAGTGAACCTTTGCTCTGCTCCCCCTTGCTCCCCGTGATCACCTACACTCTTTTAACGCAGTTAATATCAAGATCTAGCTGTCCTCATTTATGTACTTTGTTTCTGTCTTGTAAAGTATGAAAAATGGCCACAGCTGTTAACTAGGGTTCTGGGTTTACCAGCAGTCAATACTAAGCTGCTGGAGAGAAAATCATTTTGTAACTATCACTTCTTCAGATAAATTAAGCAAAAACGCAGGGTAACGACTGCAGCTGTGCTGTGAGACCAGCTGTGGTGACATATAAAATAGGTGATGACGGAGAAGGTGAGAAGCAACAAAAGGTTATGATATTCATTACAGCCACAAAGAATCTGATGCTTAGCAAACTCACAAGAAACAGACTAAACCATGTTATAAATGTGGCTGCTGGAGAAGCAACATATGGAAACTGAAACATGGGGGAGCGCAGTGCTGCAGACACCCATCTTCTGATGGCTTGTGACACGCGTTTTTGCTGACAAGTGAAAACAAATCAAAGGGATTTTTTGGTGTCTTAACTGCAGAAAGAAATGGGACCCAGCTCATCAGTCAATTAACTGTGAATTACTGCTGTCACAGCATCTGAAAAATGCCAGAGATAATCATTCTGACTACTCCAGGAGGCTGAGACAACAAGAGTGTGACTGATAAACTATTTGAATAGTTGAGTTATGTTTGGATGGAAGCATTTTTCTTGGCAACTTGCTGTTTATTGTGTGCATACCTTGCCAACATGCATTTCACATATCAGCCCAGGTCATTTCTGCTCCCCTGCCCCTCTCCCTCCCTCCATAGGTCTCTGCAGGACAGGGGTCTCTAGACATGGGGTACTCACAAAACAAGGCCTGAAAGTGGTGCAAGTCACCTCTCACGCACGGGAGAATGTGCGCGCCTCTATGTAAACTCTGACCCATAGTGAGAGGAAAGACTACAAGTATTGATGCCTCACATGTTTTTAATTTAACTCCATATCATACTTTAGGATCCACGTTATTATGAATATTAAATCCAGCAGTGCCATTCGCGCTCGTAGTGAGTGTTTCATAAACCCTGTCTTCTAAAATCCAACTCAAATCTTAAGCCAGAATTGAGTCTATTTAATCGGCGCCGTCTCCATCACATTGTCCACTCCGGGGACTAGCATCAAATACCTTGCCATTACAGAACTAAAGAACAAAAGTGTAAATAGGTTTTCCTGAAGTACTGTGCACATACAGGATCATCAAATGTCAAGGTCTGGAAATACAGCCATAAGGCTCTAGATCCTCGTTAGCGGTCCTAATTATAATGCTGTATAAAACATGAGGGAAACGAGCACATCAAAGTAAAACATCCTCCAATACTCAAACAACACAATTTAAATACATACTGGTAAACGAGTAGAAAGATGTAGCGTACCTTTAGATCGGACCACTTGTCCTTAAGTTCCGGCAGCCACTCGCACCAGCGACCCCGCAGCTGTGGCCACCAAATAACGTCATTTTCCGGGCCTCCGCTTCCCCTACAAGTGTCTCCATCTCAGTGTCTGAGTAGTTACGTTTCTTTATCCTTTCCTCACTTGATTCACCGTTAACAACACTACAATCGCGAACCAAACTCGTTAACATTCGGGTCGGCATCCGGGAGGTGCTTCGCATTGACTATTTATGGATAGAAGTGACGTGTACGTGGCTATGGGCTGATTCACGTGCGCACAGTTCTTGGTGAGGTGTGATCTATAAGGGGAACATTACTTAGAGGTGCGCGTACGCACGGTTTCATAAGTCTGAATATTTTTTGGCCTACACAATTCTGGGCGCACGTACAGTTTTAGTAGGGATCCTACGCACAGTTTTATAAATGAGACCCAGGATCTGTTTATACAGGCATCATTTCTTACTAAGGATCTGTTGATCATACAGTTGTTGCACATCACCCTCAGCAGAGTACACATACTATATAGACATATGAAAACTCTACCTGAATAAACACAACCCGAGTAAAAATAATACCAGACCTGTTCAGTGATTGCGGTACCACCCAGCAATCCCTTCTCTGTCTCTGTGGCCTGTACATTCTGTAACCTTAACAGAAAATCAGCTTTTTCCATTGTGTGAATTCCTTCAATTATAATACTTGCCATCATGGGATGGAGGCTCCTACTTACACAGTTCAATGTTACTGCTTTTTTGGCTGCTGCCAGCAGGATGTTTAATAGGTGCTTCTGTTATTCCTTTGGGTGCTACCCGCGGTATGATTACTCAAAGGTCCGGAGGGAACTGGAAACCAAAGTCTTTATCTAGTATCTTCCAGCTTATTGTTGAACCAGTAGCATCTCAGGGTCTGTTTCTTATCTTTTGTTGGAGGAGGGTTGTCTTATCAGAATGTATGACCTAATGAGGATGAACTGTTTCAGTTATAATGACCCCATCAT